TCATCTTTCTATCCTAAACAGTATTGTACTGGAGTGTTTTAAACATGAGATGGAGAATATGCACAAATCTGCAAATGTTTAATATGACCTTAGAGTCTTTATAAATAAGACTGCTAGGACTGCATTCATCCACAGTATCAGTATACTATTCAATGAAATATTTGGTATCCTACATCTCATAGAAGAAGCCCTGCGGTGCAGTGGTTAAAGCACTCAGCTGCTAACTGAAAGGTCAGCAGTTTGAACCCACCAGCCACTCCATGGGAGAAAGATGTGGCAGTCTGCTTCCGTAAACATTTACAGCCTTGGAGACCCTACTGGGCAGTTCCACTCTGCCCTACAGGGTCCCTATGAGTCAGAATCAACTCCAAAGCAATGGGTTTAGTTTCTTCATTTTTGTAACTCATAGCGAGATGCTTCCAATCGAAGTACATTAAAGCCATTATGAGGCCAGTAAGTCTAAGCCTTCCAGTCAGTGGACTGCTTTATGGGTTATTCCTAGTAGGGCACACTTCTTTTTCTGCACTGTTAGCTTCCTATTCAACCTACATCAAATCCAAAATACATTTTCTGCCACTTATAGGCATTCTATGGATTACTAAGGAGCCCCGGTGGCACAATGGGTAAAGTGCTTGACTGCTAAACAAAAGGTTAGTGGTTTGAACCCACCCAGCATCTCTGTGAGAGAAAGATGGGGCGATCTGCTCCGGCAAAGATTACAGCCTAAGAAACCCCATGGGGCAGTTCTACTCTATCACACAGGGTTGCTATTAATCTCAACTCAGTGGCACACATGGATTACTGACACACCTGAGAACTCATGAGTTGCTGCACTGACTAGTGCACTAGGAACTCAGCTGTCCTGATTTCCGAGGTACTGCAAGAATCTGACCACAGTGCTAATCTACTTGGGCAACATGATAACCCACAGGCAAGGATCCCTCTCCAGCTCACCCCACTGGGTCAGAGAACTCTCCCTACTCTGTTACTATAATCGCCAGATCAACTAGGCAGATTATCAGAGCACATACTGCTTCTTCAGCATCAGTGACTGAGAATTCACTGTGGGTGGGGATACCTCATCTGAGGGTGCATAAACAGAAGCTTCATGATCAACCTGAAATTATACGCAAAACCCATCTATGACATTCTTTTACATTCTCCTTGGGAGAAGGTCCATTGCTTTCACCATGTTCTCAAAGATTTTATAAAGAAAAAAGGTTAAGAATCTACTCTACAGTTTTCAACAGTTAACCTACACTGGATTTCCTCTAATAATTGTATAGCAAATTCATTATTTAAAAAAAAAATCTAAGACATGACAGTCAAATTCTTTCTGCATATATTAGTAGCTGAAATCTAAAGGGATCATCTTAAATATACTGACAAACAATTTAACATAAGACAAAACTGCAAATTAAATCAACAGAAATTAGGTACATCAATTTATTTCTATATTTCACAATTATAATTTTGAAAGGGCTGTTTGACAAACTTCAGCATTTCTACGAACTCTACAGACATCTTCAACAAAAAGGCATAACTCTCGGCCCTTTTAGTACAGGTAAAGTATCCTACTGCATCACAAGTTAATGGAGATGCAGTAACACAGTTGAGGGCATAAATATTAAAGAAATTAGATGTTTTCTTCCAACTGCTATTTAGTTGATAAATAACATTAATACAAAATACATTAGTGGATATCATGACCACCAGGGATTTGCAGAACAAAATCCATAAGCCTACCTACTTAAAAAGACTGAAACTAGTATAACGTACTAAAATTGGTGTTTTTATCCTTAGGTTAGCAATGCAAGTGAGATTTCTTTGATCCCAATTTTTCAAGATGTGGAGGGGAGTTTGGGGAAGAAGAGATATACATGGGGGAAGACTGGCAGTGCCTGCTGAGTTGTAGAGTGAGACAGTGGCTCAAATTAGTCATAATCCAGGTTAAGACAGTGTTTTAGAAAATTAAACGTGTCCTTGATTGTGGTTTATCAAGGAGGATATTAAGGACTGATAATTCATCTGCCCTAAACACCATTCAGTAAGGGCCATCAGTGGGCCTAAGGGATAAGCAGGGATGGGAGAGGGTGAGGTAAAAAGAAACGAAAGAAGGAAAATGAAAAATGGAAGAAAAATGTTTGAATGTTGGGGCATATGAAAAGGCCACCAGAGAAACTGCCTCTGTTGCCACTCAGAAGTGCTCTTCCCATCCAATTGGCTGCCTGTCCCTGAATTACCAAACACCAAGTTTAGAGCACAATCTGAGGACAGCTATTACATTTCCACTTTAGTAAAACTTCACTGAATTGAATGGAAAGAATACACATATGATTCAGTAAAAAATATCAACAAATATTCAGAGGTATAGTTTTGTTACATCAAATAAAAAGAGCAACTAATTACAACTGCTGAAGAAGTAACAACAAGTAGAAGAGGCTGCAGCACGAGTACTGGACAACTTGTATACAGACTACAAACATGCCCCTTCCAATTCATCAAAACAAGCCACTAATCCTAATTATCCCAACTTGCCCATAACTGTAATTGTTTTAGTCTGCTGTAGCTTTCAAAAACTAAATATTTCTCAAAACTGTACTACCACATCAGGAGCTACTGTAACACGAAACAAACGGGTAACTTTTTCAGAACTTAGCCAGTTTTCTTAAGTATGTGTCATCTCCAACTTCACCTGACTCCAACATTCACTTGTAATAAACACAACATTGATTAAAATTAGCCATTTCTCAAACCACAACTCTGAAATCAAGAAATGGGGAATTAAGCTCATCCAGTCAAAGTCTTCATTCAAGCAATGGCAAAACAGCATGGAATTATGTCAATAAACAGCTTTGAGGCAGATCAAAAAAGAGAAAAAATTAAAACATCTCTACCCCAAGCACCAATATTGGAGGCTAACCAATTATATCTACAAATCCTTGGTGACAGGTCTTTCCCAAGAGAAAATTCTCAGATTTTAAGCTTGGTGACTTTACAGAAGGCAGGTTGGTTTAATGAGGAGTTTTATCTTTAATAAAAAAAAAACCATCAAAAATATTTTGGTCACTAACTCAGCATTTCACAGATCCTCAATGAGTGAGGTAGGTTAATTATTAGCATTGTGTGTTACAAAGCAAAACTCCGGCAGAGGCTCTATCACACTTGCCCCAGACCACAGCAGGAGCCCTGTCTCAGCCAGGAAAACAGGTCTCTCTGACCCTCCAGATGGCCTTCCCAGCCATGTAAACTCAGTGGCGATAGCTTCCAAAAACTCACGGAAAAAAAACAAAAGACTAGGTATTACAGAAATTTTGCTTTGGGATAATCTGTAATTTTTAAATCACTCCTACAAGGATTATACATTATTATGGAATAACCAACTTGCTCCCGTTATATTTATATAGAACATCCTTACAATGAGGAATGAGCACATTACTACCTTGGTAGGGGGAGCAGGAAGATAACCAGCAAACTCTGCTTGGGTGTTAGGCAGCCTTTACATGTCGGTGCTATGCTTAAAGCACCATCTCTGATGATCTGGGGTCATAGCAAGACGAAGATGAAGAAAACCGTACCATCTCAGGCTGATGCTCATTATCATGCCACAGCATTAAGATATGGAATGAGCTCAAAGAGTGGTAAATTTATCCCAATTTAAAGTTCTTATTAATCAGATCAACCAAAACTAAAACAGTATTTTTCTTAAAGTGATACCTACAGAAGCACAATATCTAATTACATATTTCTACTACTAATGTGCTCTACCTGTCATGTAAATTACTCTAGTTGTAGCAAGTCTAACTCACTTAGCTCATCATAATGCTTAAAATCATCTACTCGAATTCAGCTCACCCTGACAGTTTCCTGGGCCTGGCTTCTTAAGTACGTGATAAAGTTCCTTTTATTTAAACAATTGTGAAATATTAATAATACAGGATTAAGAGTGGTTACTTAACAACTGAGAAATTATAAGGAAAACACTAGTGTGCTATAAAATACAGTATTCAGCAGAACAAATTTTCAAGAGTAAGCATACAGACACCTAAGCTTCCAAATAGACCTAACAGCCCAACTCCATTTGAGTCAAAGAAGCAAAAAAAAGGGGAGAGGAGAGGCACACGCAGGGGAGGACAGGGTATTGAAGCCTTTTATTCTAGCATCCCCAAAGTTGACTGTGGAAGTAAAAAGTTTCTACAATAAAAAAGTTTATATAAATTACATGAATTGCAATTTTCATAAAAGTCAGGATGCAATGTTCTGCATAGGGCAAAAGATATGCCTAAGCAACGTATCATATTTGCACAAGGCCACTGAATGTCATGGATACTAGTAACAAATGAAAAAGCTTAAGTCTGCGGCAGACTAAAGATTTCAGAGTTTGGTAAGCCCAAGATTGTAAACGACTCTTACTATACAAAAACTGTAATGACATACAGAGTTTTGTGTAGGAACTCTTGTGCTTCTAGTTGGCACATCATCTACTTTTTAATGTGGAATTAATACAGACATTTGTGAGCCGTTGTGCAAAACTATTGTATTTACAAAAATGGCACAAAAGTGAATCCAACAGTCGATGTACATGCACACTTCACTCACGTTGTCAACAACAAAAGGTATTCTAACACTATAGAACTGAATAAGAATATTAGTTTCCACAGCGGCTATTAAGCACTAGTCACATAAGTTATACCAGAATGGGCAAATATTGCCCAAGTAAATTTCTATTGTTAAAGCTGAAACAGGTTTAAGGCCATTCAAGTTTAAGCAAGAGATACAAATCTTTCAGAGCCCCATCTATTTGTCTGTGTTTGAAATATGTGACCTTTCTCCCAACTTGTAGTCCTACATTTCTGGTTTATAAAGTCCAAAAGAAAAATACAGAAGAAATCAACACAATAAAGGTTATATTAAATAAGACTAACATACAAAGCCATAATTAAGATGAAGTAAGGAAAGCCGAAACATTAAAATTGTAAAGCTTGCTTGTTACTTGTTAGAACCAGTCCTACACTAGGAGTGAGATAATATACACAATTATTTTCAAGTAGATTACTTTATGTTGCTCTAACATGTACTTGTCATCAGTGCACTATTAAACTACTTAAAAATTCTACATATTCTCTTACAATAGCAGCATACACACACACAAAGCTGTGAAGTCTCAAACGACTTAGTGAATTGAAAGGAAATAAAAAGCTGAGAAGTAACATATTAAGAAGAAACAATGGGAATTAGAAGATCCATGCAGTTCAGCTCTCTGAGTCAGCCAGCCAGCTTGCTAGCAACAAGGGATGGTTTCCGCTGCGGAAGGTCCTGTGGAGTAGGAATGTGGTCACCAGTGACCTCTGTCTTATCCGGGGCTGCAGTAGGAAGTTGCTTGTTCTTCATTTTTGCTTTAGCCATGTTGTAATCCCCAGAATCAAAATATTTTTGCTATAGGAAAAGTAAAAAAAGAAAAAAAAAAAAAAAGAATTCAGACCAGAATTTAAAAGCCTTCATGTGCAAATACACTGGTTTAAGATATAGATGCAACGCTACACTGTCAGTATAACATAATCTAGTCTTAAAAAATTTAAACAAAAACATTAATTAGATAAAATAACTATGTCCCCGTAGTAAGTTCCAGCATAATTCAAAAACTGAGAAGCCAGGCAAGCACCCCTTCTTCAGACTTGGACTGCTCTGGCTCCAGTACAGAGCTACACATCAACCACTGCATCAAGCTATCTGGGAATGAATAGTCCTAGACTCAGCAAAATTCACACCTTTCATTTACTAATAGAGCAATCAGGCTGAAAAGCTTGCTTAAATGATTTTGAAAATAAAAACAAATAATTCATCAATTTGCATTTAGAATGTGCCACCCACCCTCAATTAACCTTATAGCTATTAAAACTATTATTTATAGTTTCTGGTACTCTGTCATCTAGAACAAGCATTTCTGCAAGAATTTAAATCATACTTATTTTAACTAGAGCAGATCATTAAAATCAAAATTAAGGTTAAAATATAAATGCTACAGTAAATCTAAAAAATAAACTTCTCACCAGAAATTATCACTTAAAATGCACATCCCTACACCTCCTCCATTTTTCACACAAAAACACTGAATAAGTACCACTATCGCTCACTAAGATGGAGGAAGATTGTAACCATATCCTTTATCACTAAAACACAACTTGTGAGGAAAGCTAATAATCAACCTTAATGTGGCTAATTAGCTATCTGTTCCAGATTAAAAACAGATGTATGTGCCTGGCTCCTGACTGACACCTATTATATTAGCCCACATTTACTGAGTAACTGCTATACTCTGTGAGAGGAGAGGCACTGGGTTTGAGAGCTGGAGAGAGGTACAAAGATGGACAAGAGTCAAGTAAATCAATTATACGATTTTAAGTATACAAGGTGCTATGAGTGCTCAAAGGAGGGAGCCCTAACCTTGGCCTGAGGTGGGCCAGTGAGGAATAATTCAGGTATGAGATGAGGGCCTGGACAATGAGTGAAGGGGAAAAAAATGTATGTTCTCTCAGGGCCTTTAAGGATACCTCATGTTGTAAAATGAAAGAGCTGGGAACTCACAGCCCAGGAAAAGTCTCATTGGCTGCCTTTCTCGAGGGACTTATCTGGCCAGAGGGTCTAAAGTTCAAAACTGCTTTTCATCTGTCACTATACATGCAACACACAGAGCGGTAACAAGGAAACTCAGACCAGGCCATCCCAAGGCTTGCTGCAGCTTTATTCCTACATGATGTTTTAAAATGAGTGTAGCGGAAAAAAAAAAAAAGAATGTCTGATGCACTGCATTATACTTGAAGTAGAGAGCTGCTTCTGAGGTTTAGTAGCGTCTGGAGGAGAACACAACAGCCTGCCAAATTTCTTAGAGTCAAAAGCACAAAGTGAGAAATTTAACACACAGTGCAAATTTTAGGCAGAACTTTCCCAAGCCTGTGTCTAACCTGGTTTTTTATTGATACTTATTTTCTAGTTAGTAAAAATTCATCATAAGGGAATACCACTAACTTGCAGGTTAGACTACACTGCTTGTGGAAAAGGAACCAAATATATTTAGTGTGGCTAGACACAAAACTAAAATCAATGCTAACAATTAGGACTGCTCTAGGAAAGAGCAGGCTACTACTGCAAAAGGCAGTATTTCACTTAAAAGATTCAGCAAAGACAACTATGCAACAAAGATGTCAGAAAAAAAATGCTTTAGGTGGAGTGAACTAGGTCATTCCTCATTGTTTCTCACACTGGAATCCACAGATAGAGTCTCAGAAAGCGATTATTAGTTGTTCTTAACAATTTTTAAATTTTGTGAGTTTAATAAAAATCTTTTAAAATTCACAAAGCATATTCTTGATCATCTGGATGACAATATTGTAAAAGCCTCCTCCCCACCAAATTTAGAGGCCACACTTACATCAGTATTTACAATTACACTGACAGTAAGTGAACACCTATTATGTTTAATTTTTAAAGCCTTGTTTCCTTAAACTGTATCTTCAGTTTTCTTGGGACTTCACAAACAAGTATGAAAAATATAGACTAGACTGCTTCTTGATATCCCTCCTGGCTCTATCTATGTAGCCACTGTGTACATGGTCATAATATAAAAGATCCCAAATACATGTCAATCCTTGACACTCAACATTAGCATTAATGAGTATAATAAGACAGAAAGGGGCCTTACAAATAATACCTAATCCAACTTCTCAGATGAAGAACAGTTTAAAGATGCTAAGGTAACTCGTGAAGCTTGCTAATTATTAGTGTGACAGAGGAAAACTGAAACCCAGGACCCTGTGATCCAGACTCTTACAGAACTATTCAAGAGCTCACTTTCCAAATTCTATATAATTATATCTTAATTCAACTGGCATTTTCTCCATTATCAACTGCTTATATCTACAATGCCAACTCCAAGATAAAACACATATAGATTCTGACTTGAAGATACTTAAAATGTCATAAATAGTCGAAGCCAGAAGAAAATTACAAAAACAGTACAAATGTTGGAAGAAAGCCTCTTAACATAGGTACGCTTGAGAATAGCAAAAAAAAAAAATGTTTCTTAATCACTAGTAATCAGACAAATCCCAAATTCAAGTAACTCAATAAAGAAGATTATATAATTCATTTTGTAACTAAAAACTCACTGATGGAACAGTCTTATGATCAGACTCAGTACATATAATTGCTGTATTCATAATATGGTTTTCATCCTTTTTCAATTTATTCTATTTATAATTTTAGAATTGTTTTTAAATGAGCACAAAATATTCTATTTTGTTGACTTATCACAATTTACTTAACCATTTCTCTGCTGTTGAGTAGTGGCACTGCTGCTAATTATAGTGAAAACTACAACGAATATCTTCAAACCTTGGAGACTTTTTTCCTTACACTGAATTATGTTCTTAGATTAATTCAAAAGAGATTGTTCATTGAAACAATGTGAACATTTTAATAAATCTTGATTCATACCCCTTTCCAAAATGAGAGTATCATTTTAAATGCTACACATAGCAAACTTCAACTTCAACCTCACCAAACCCCAAAAAACCAAACCCACTGCCATTTACTCCAACTCATAGGGACTCAACAGGACAGAAGAGAACTGTCCCATAGGGTTTGCAAGGAGCAGCTGGTGGATTCCAACTGCCAACTGTCTGGTTAGCAGCTGAGCTCTTAACCACTGCACCACCAGGGCTCCTAAACCTCACCAGTGGGTATTATCTTAAATATTTTTCTAATTTAGTTGTATGGATACCACATTCTGACTGCTCTAATTTACATTTCATTGATTTCTATCATGGGTAAATATTTTTCTCTGTATATAATACTTTATTCCGTCTGTTAAAATCCTTTATTTGTGGGTACCTTGGAGCCCTGGTGGTGTAGTAGTTAAGAGCTCAGCTGCTAACCAAAAGGTCAGCAGTTCGAATTCACCAGCTGCTCCCTGGAAACCCTATGGGGCAGTTCTACTCTGTCCTATAGAGTCACTATGAGTCAGAATGCACTCAAAGGCAATGGGCTATAGGCACCTATTTTATTTATTTCTCATGGTACAGAGGGTTTTACATTTTCATGTATTTAGTGTAATTCTTTCTTGTCATTCCTATCATTTCAAAGCTGTGAATATTATTCTTTCATGTAAGATAAAAATGTCGTTTTATTTTTCTGCCACTTTTAAAAATAATTTATTTAAATACTTTAAACATTCCTTTGGAATTTGTTTTTTTGCCTTTTTTGGAAGACAATCCATATATACCTACGGTTAATATGTTCCCATAAATAAACACACACACATACTGACACATTTCTGTAAGCAAGCAAAAGATACTAGCATATTTAAGGCATTTATTTAAGGAGAAACTTGATTTGGCACTGGATTCAATAAACAATTCTCTTCTGTAAATATTATTTTATCTTCCCTATACCCTCTATGGTAGGAAGGGAAAAACTTAAGGAACAAATAGAACACTATCTCAATTCAGATCTCACTGATGAGAAATAATGGTTTATACCTCACAAAGCATGACAAGATTTTTGAAAAAAAAATTTTCAGTAATTTGAACTACTAAAATTACAATGTACTAATTGTGTTACAGTAACTCTGAATGTGAAATGTGGTATTAATAAGAGAGTAAAGTGCTTTTAAAGTGATCATTTCATCCAAATAAAAATTAGTTTAAGCTTTTGGGTGTTGTATGGGAATCGCTTTTAAAATAATTAGGTAAAAATTTAAAAATATGGGTAGGAAGGATAAATAACAAATGGCTGCTTTTGAAGAGAAGGGGGAATGGGGTTTTATACACACATGGGGTAGGTTTCAACTGCATCTACATTTTCTTTCTTACAAAGATAGAATCGAAATAAACATGGAAAAATATTAATGTTAGATCTGAGTGGTGGGTACACAAGTTGTTATTATCTATAAGTTTGTTTCAAATCATTAATAATTAAAAAATGTTAAAGAGTTGAGAATTCTTACACATACTTATGAACGAACAGTATAAAATACTTATATATATGTATATATATGACTGTAAGGTACAGAACTATATATGCAGACACCCATTTCACAATCTCTATCAGCACAATGAATTCACACAGCTTAAGTATTTGAAGATTACACGTGAGAACTTACCCCTTTCTGTAAGCGTTTCCTTAAGAAATCTGAACCTCCAGGCTTTTGTCCCAGATGAGGATACCTTGCTTTTAATTTTGCTTCTTCAGCTTTCTCTGGACTAGTCACTTTATCTTCCATTTCCTGAAAAAATTTTAAACAAGTTATTTCTCTATTACAAAACAGTTATTTAAAATAATTCACTTTTTTTAATATCTGGATTCCAATTTCAGTTGTCCAATGCCAAATAACACAGCATCTGACTAAGAAATCAAGCACAGAAGCTTTTAAAATATCTCTATCTTTTTTTCAAATGATCCATGTGATAGCTCTATTATAGCTGTGATGCATGTGTGACACCCCACACACTGGATAAAAATATCAAAAGAGCTCAGCTCTCAAGTCTTGCTTGCCATTACTTTCCAGTCATGTATAACACATCTATAGTCAGTCACCTTCTATGGAACTCTTTAGCTCTTTGTCTATAGAGAATCTTAATACTGTTAAAGAACAAAAGATCTTTTGATTTCCTGTTTATCCAAAATTATGTATGATTTGAAGCTCCTAAGATTCCTTACTAGAAATTAACAGCAGTCTACTTACCAGTACATTTTCCCTGAATAAATTAATACAGAATAAATACCCTGATGTTTGTAAAGAAGAGATACATCACGTAATCTTTGTCAATCCCCATGTCTGGGTATACTGCCTAATTTCCTCCCATACGTTTAATGACAAAAGTGTTCATGTCAAAGATTATTTAACATCAAAAACCTGTTTTCTGACCAAGGAATGTCAATATTTTAACCCTGTTCATTTTTAACACCAGTCTTGATAAAGTCTACCTTCTTTCCAAGAGCCTATTTTACCAGGAAACACCATATCACTTTATGGCTAATACTGCAGAAGGACAAATCTAAAAAAAAGGCTGCTCTGAGATGGGAAGGCTGGGCCCACTTTCTAGCTAATAAATTCACTTCTGCATGCCAGCTCGGCAAAGTTACAGACCTCTATAGATCTCAAGTCTTCCAGGTTACTTATGATTAGTAAAAAGCAGGACTGTTGAATCCATACATGTAAAGTCTACGTTCCTACATAGCAAGTAGATCATTTATCAATCTAAGAATTAAACAACTTCATACAATTTTTACATATATTTTCCTCAAAATTAAACATACATGTTTAATAATCACCTTTATTTACTTTATATACTGTCAACATTTCCTTCATCTTGAACAGTTTCCTCATGTGTTTACATCTTCTCATTTTAAGTCTTGGAGGATTTTGAAAATAAAGCTGCTGCCGTCACAATATATTTTTCTTCTATGGGGCCCCTTTCTATATGTATTCTCCCTTTCTGCTTTGTGAATACATGACCTACTGAGAACTGACGTGGCAGTCTCCAATGTGATTTATGCCTTCTCTGGAAATTTACAAAGGTGATTTTAGTTATATATGATTTTTCCCTTACTAACTTTAGAACCTAACCCCCATGTAAGATATGACCATACTGTACTCATCACAAAAGCTGGAGAAATAGTGGAAGTTTAAGGATACCAGCTGAGTATAGGAAGATGGGCTGGGTCACCATACAGCTCTGTGGCTCAACCCTCACTGCAAGCATCTACTGTGGGTGGCACAGAGATGTTCCTAGTGCTGCAACACAGAAGTGGAATTGGGAGGAGGGACCTACTCTTGGGTTTCCCTGTACACCTACTTTTCACTTATTGACTACTCATTATCTGACGTTTCTTTCGCATTTACAACAGTAAAAAATCTATTTTGCATATTAACGAGATGGAGGCGTGGCAGCAACGGCTGCAGAGCGTCCCCTCCCTTGCAGAGAGTCTCTGGGCTGCCTCTGGGAAGCTGGGCCGCACTGCCCTCCATTCCCTCCAATCAGCCCACATCCAGCTGCTGCCGCATGGGCCCAGCCTCCTCTATCCACGGCTGTGTGCCTGTTCTCGGTTCCCAGCTCCTATGCAGCCTGAGGCCCTGCAGCTCAAAACTGCTGTGGGGTGAGAAGGGAGGAAAGAAAGGCATCAGAGACGGTATCGGGAAGAAGCGCATGCCAGTTTAATGACATCCCAAAGTGAGCCAAACTGGGGTCTGCACCCTACTTTAGTGAGTGGCGTCTGGGGTCTTAAAAGCTTGCAAGAGGCCATCTAGGATGCATCAATTGGTCCCAACCACCTGGAGTAAAGGAGAATGAAAAAACACCAAAGACACAAGGAAAAGTATAAACCAGACACCTCATCAGCCTGAGACCAGAAGAACTAGATGGTGCCTGGCAACCATCAATGACCGCCGGACAGGGAACACAACAGAGAGTCCCTGATGGAGCAGGAGAAAGGGGGTAGGGAGTGGAGTGCAGAACTCAAATTCTAGTAAAAAGACCAGACTTAATGGTTTGACTGAGGCTGGAGGGACCCCGGAAAGCATGGCCCCCGGACTTTCTGTCAGCCTAGAACTAAATTTCTGAGGCCAACTCTTCAGACAGAGATTGGACTGGACTGTGGGACATAAAATGATACTCGTGAAGAGCGTGCTTCTTAGCTCAAGTAGATACATGACACTAAACAGGCAGCTTCTGTCCGGAGGTGAGATGAGAAGGCAGAGAGGGTTAGGAGCTGGTTGAATGGACATGGGAAATCAGGGGTGGAGAAGAGGAGTGTGCTGTCACAGTACAGGGAGAACAATTAGGGTCACATAACAATGCATGTATAAATTTTTGCATAAGAGACTAACTTGAAATTTAAAAAAACTACAACAATAAACCAAAGTGAGCCAAGCTGGGCCTGAAGCCTCTGCCTCGGAGGGGCCGGGTGTGCTGCCAGGCTCCTAGCACCCTCTCAGGAAGCCCTGAGCCTCAGTGACTCGCCAGGCCAGGAGGGCAGAAGAGGCTCTAGATGGGATCGTGAATGCAGGGTTTGCAGGGGTGGGTGGGAATGGAGCCTGGAGGCAGCTCTGCAAAGGAAGCTCTGACCCAGCACAAGAGGAAGGGGAAGTGGTTAAGCCAAGGGCCCTCCAGTAACACACCCAAGCTATATCCAGCTTTGTCTCCTCCAAGTCTCCTTCTACACAGAGGAATAAGCCATAACTAGACTTGTCTCGGTGATAAGCACATCAGTAAATCTTAGCTGTTATTAGTTCTATGATCATATTTTCTAACAAACCAGACAAATGGATGGTCTGAAAACAGGAAAAAAAAAAAAAAAAGACTTCCATTTTGGCATAATGCTGATTTTCACATAACAACCTGGTCTTTGGAACCTGTCTTAGTCATCTAGTGCTGCTATAACAGAAATACCAGAAGTGGATGGCTTTAACAAAGAGAAATTTATTTTCTCACAGCTAGGAGGCTAGAAGTCCGAATTCAGTGTACCAGCTCCAGGGGAATGCTTTCTCTGTCGGTTCTGGGGGAAGGTCCCTGTCATTGATCTTCCCATGTCGAGGAGCTTCTCAGTGCAGGGACTCCAGGTCCAAAGTACATGCTGTTCTCCTTGTTCTTGTTCCTTGGTGGTATGAGGTCCCCGTCTTTCTGCCCACTTGTCTCTTTTTATATGTCAAAAGAGACTGACTCAAAATACAACCAAATCTTATAGACTGAGTCGTGCCTCATTAACATAACTGCCTCTAATCCTGCCTCATTAACAACACAGAGGTAGGATTTACAACACATAGGAAAATCACATCAGATGACAAAATGGTGGACAATCACACAATACTGGGAATCATGGCCTAGCCCAATTCCAACACATTTTTGGGGGACACAATTTAATCCAGAACCAGAACATAACCATGTTGATAGTGAGGAGTGGTGTAAAGCTGTTTTAAAATTACATGGGTTGAAAAGGACTCCAAGCTCACTGCAGCCCTCAATCCTAGCACCTTCAAATTAAGGGTGTTAAGGAGCCCTGGTGGCACAACGGTTAAGTGCTTGGTTGCTAAGTGAAATGTTGGCAGTTCAAACCCAGGAGTAACTCTTTAGGAGAAAAGAACTGGCAATCTGCTCCTGTAAACATTACAGCCTAAGGCATGGGAACCATGGTTTTGGAGGACATCTATGTCAATCAGCATAACAAAGTTTATTAAGAAAATGTTCTGCATCCCACTTTGGTGAGTGGCATCTGGGGTCTTAAAAGCTTCCGAGTGGTCATCTAAGATGCATCGATTCGTCCTAACCCACTTGGAGCAAAGGAGATGAAGAATACCAAAGACACCGGGAAAATATTAGCCTAAGAGACAAAAGGTCCACATAAACCAAAGACTCCATCATCCTGAGACCACAAGAACTAGATGGTGTCCAGCTACCATCAATGACTGCCCTAACAGAGAAGACAACAAAGGGTCCCTGACAGAGCAGGAGAAAAGTACGGAGCAGAACTCAAATTCACATAAAAAGACCAGACTTAATGGTCTGACTGAGACTGGAGGACCCCCAAAGCCATCACCCCCAGACACTCTATTAATCCAGAACTAAAACTATTTCCAAAGCCCACTCTCCAGACATACATCAGACTAGAATATAAAACATAAAATAATACCCTCGAAGAGTGTGCTCCTTCTTAGCTCAATCAGATACACAAGACCAAATGGGCGGCTCCTGTCCAGAGGCACGGTAAGAAGGCAGGAAGGGACAGGAGCTGGCCGAATGGACACAAGAAACCCAGGGTGGAAAGGGGGAGTGCACTGTCACATTACAGGGATTGCAAGTAACGTTACATTAACAGAGTATAATGTTTTGTATGAGAAATCAATTTAAGCTGTCAACTTTCACCTAAAGCAAAGTTAAAAAAAAAAAAAAGATTACAACCTAGAAAACTCTATGGGGCAGTTATACCCTGTCCTATAGGGTTGCTATGAGTCAGAATCAACTGTATTGCACAAAACAATGATGTCCTAAGTCCCTGGGTAGCAAACGGTTTTTGCCCTAGGCTACTAACTGAAAAGTTCTCGATTCGAATCCACTCAGGGGCAAAAGGGAAGACAAGCAGGGCAATCTACTTGCATAAGATTATAATCATTGAAAATCCTATGGAGGGAGGCTGGACCAAGATGGCATAGTAGTCTGACGCTTCCGGTGGTCCCTCTTACAACAAAGACCCGAAAACCTAGGAGCCCTGAACATCAAAAGCAAAGTT